TGACGGAGGCTGGAATTATGCGCGGCGGCCTAGGATGATATCGGCGACGATCCTCCCGGCGACGGCGGCAAAACCCAGCGGCAACGATCTGATCTGACGGAGGTGGCGCAATCTGAAACGGCTTCTCAACCTGGCGGCGGCGCAATCTGGACTGCCTTCTGCACGGCCTTGCGATCCAAGAGGTCGACAACGGCGCTAGAAGGGTGGCGAACACCTGTGCAGATCTCCCCCGAACTAACGGCTTCTCCTTTGCTGCACAACTCCGAACCAGCGGCTGTGGTTCACTCTTCAGATCCGGTTGCGGCCCTTCACAACAGCGACGGCTCTTCAACGCGGCGGGGTGATGGCGGCAGCGACTCCTTCGCTTGCTGCGACCCCCCTCGAACCAGCAACGGCGGCGGTCTGATTCTGTTCGATTGAAGGCGGCTCTCCGATTCAAGCGCGGTAGTGCTCCGTGGGAATCAACGGGGATGGTGGTGCTCCGGCGGCAGCGGCCCAAACACAGGCTCCTCCTACTGCACAGGGTTCTTTGGGTGACACTCCTCTGATTAGTTTCTGCTAATTGGATTTCCGGTGTTGACGAACCAACGCTCCGATACCACTTGTTGGGAATAAACGCACGCGGAAACAACACACAATCACGAATCAACTGCAGAAAAATAAATGACACAGGATTTAACGTGGTTCGGCCGCCAACTGCAACCTACGTCTACACGGGGCAACTAGGAGGATTTTATTATTTTTGTTACACCACAATTACAAGCACATTAGCATCTCTTAAATAGAGATTAGTTAGGGAGACAATGATTAAGCCGTAAGCTTCTAGGTAGCTTCCTGTCAAATTTCCTGTTAGCTTCCACCTAGCTTCCTGGCTTCACAGTCAACAAATACTACATCAAAGAGGGGTGTGAGTGGCTTCAAGGAGTAGGAAGAATACCAAGATGGGAAGGACATAGTATGGAATAAACTGACTCCTCTTAAATTTCAGTTTATTACCTGATTGCTAGTGAAAGAGAGATTACAAACTAAAAAAAGAATGAGTAAGTTCTCCCACATGAATATGGAGTGTGGACTATGTGGACATGGAGTAGAAACAGATCAGCATCTGATTTGGGAATGCTTGACTGCACAAAGCATTTTTGGAGCATGTGAATACTAGACTTTAACTTTGAAACAAAAGTGGGAAACTTTCAAGATCTGGTGGAATGTTTTACAGAAGACAAAGTTGAAGAAGAGTAGACTCCAAATTTTAGCGATTTGGGTAGGATGTATTTATAGCATATGAAGGATGAGGAATAAGATTATCCACCAAAAAAAGTGCACTATAGAGGATGCTACAAATTTTGTTTGCTATTACTCCGTATTTAAGTAGCAATTTTACTTATTTGAAAAAGATGTAATAGGGTGGTGAATGAAAGTTGTACTTTTTGTGCAAAAAAATAGATAAAAGATATTATTAAAGTTTGATTATGTGAATACTAGAAATGAAGTTTTAGGATGAAGATAATTTTTTTATAAAATTTTTTTTATTTCTTTGATTGGTTTATGTGTCTTCAAACCAATAACAAAAACTAGAGTGTAAATATCATTTTCTAAATAATAATTATTTATTTTAATAAATAATTAAGATATTTATCAAAAACTATACTAGTAGGAGTACAATTTTATTAATTTGCATGCCTATGTTAATAATAAATAACTATTATTTGAGAAATATTTCTTTAATAAATACGGGGCAATTGTCATTTACAAAATATTAATTCGTACCAATTTTTGAAACCATTACCGGAGATATGGAATTCTTGGATGCTTTTCTTGGGCTCCGCTTGTAATCCTTCTATAATCTCTTCTCTTGTGTCTAGAAATTATTTCCATCTTTTTGTGGCTAAAAGAATTATTTAGAAGAAATAATTTTTTAATAATAAAAAAGAGGGTATGAAGGTAAAATGCTACTTTTTAAAGTTGGGATAAAATATAATGGCTTAAAAAATAAAAAGTGATTAAACTTTTAAAAAGTAGCTTATATATTTTATAATAAAATATGAAATTTATAAAATAAAATTATTATTTTAATTTTTTATTTTCTAAAACTCTTTGAAAATTTTTCAAACTACTTCCTTTTTGTTTCAATTCCTTCCAAATTTTTTTACTCCTAGTTTTTCCAACATCTAATCTCTTTTGGCTGTCAGCTGTTGGCAGTTGGCAGTTTGTGCCAACTGTTGTGAATTCCTGTTTAGTTTAGCTGGTTTGACTGGCAGAATAAATTGGATGTTCGTTAAAAATGTTTGGTAAAATTAGTTGTTGAAAATAGTTATATATATATATATATATATATATATATATATATATATATATATATATATATATATATATATATATATATATATATATATATATATATATAT